GTTTTTATCAGTCTCTCTCTAGTCATCTGGAACAAGTAAAACGTCACAATGTCCAACTAGTGCTTGGTGACTTTAATGCCCATATCGGATATGACAGTCATGTTGCAAGTCCCACTGTCGTAGGCGAGTTCTGTTTCTATCCCGAAACCAATGATAATGGGGAGAGATTGGTCGCCATGTGTGAGGAACTACAGTTTCGTCCTGCCCAAACGAGATTCCCACAGCCGCGGGGCCGTCTCTGGACTTGGACCCACCCCGCAGGTTCAGTTCACCAACTTGACCATATCCTGATAAATAGGAAATGGGTCAACTCCCTTAGGAACTGCCGTGCTTACAACACGGTTGAGCTGGATTCGGACCATAGAATTCTAAGCATCACCTTGTCGATAAGCTTGAGAACATCTCGGGGAAAACCTTATAAACGAAATAAATTCAACTGGGATGTACTGCGGAACACTGCTGCCCAGGAACAGTTCGAGCTCGAATTGTCAAACAGGTTTAGTGCCATTCAACCTCATGATAGTGGTGAGTCCATCACAGACAGATATAGAGTATTCGAAACTGCAGTTAGGGAAACAGCAGCTAAGGTTGTTGGGAAAAAGAAGTCTTGTAGCTTGCCTAGCTGGGTATCGGTAGAAACCCTCAAACTGAAAGCTGACAGAGACAAAGCCAAAAGGAATTTCCTTACGCGTCGTACCCGTAGGTCGAAAGAGACATGGAGAAGTCTAAACAGTGCCCTTAATACATCTTACAAAAATGACAAAACAAGGGACCTTAACAGACAGATCGAGGAATTGGTGTTGGCTGACCAAAGAAGAGAGTATTCTGCCACATGGAAAATCATCAACAACCTGGCAGGGAGGAACCAACGGGTGAGAGTCAAAGTTAAGAAAAGGGATGGTACTCCTCCTGCCAGTGACACAGAGCTACTCATGGAATGGAAGGAATACTTCAGCTCCCTACTGAACAACAAGAACATCAGCTCGATGAAAGTCCTACCACTTCCTGCAGAACAAGATCTTCCTATCTCCACTGAACCACCTTTCCTCGAGGAAACTCTGTTAGCTATACAACAACTTAAATGTAGGAAGGCAGCCGGAATGGATGACGGAATTACTGTAGAAGCCCTTCAAGGTGGTGGCACTACGATAGCAAAGGTCGTGCATAGTTTCTGTGCTGAAGTGTACTCCACACTTGTACCTCCAGAACAGTGGACTACAAACATCATTATCCCACTCCCCAAGAAAGGTGACTTATCTCTAATGACAAACTACAGG